AGGCACACAATAGCTGTTCTCACACAGAGGACTGAATGGCTGCCCTGTTGGCAGGTCAATAGGTAGGTGAAAGGGGGTTGTGTGGAGGTTGTATGGTGGTTGTGTGAGAGTTGTGAGCGATGGTGCGTTATTGGTCAAAGTTGTGTATATTGTTGTTCCCTAGGGAAAAGGTTGTATTTGTAAGTTGTGCATTACTAATGTCTGGTAGAATAAATGATGCAGTCAACAACCTTTTCATTCAACAAAGCGAAAGACAGATGTCATGTACCTTATTTTTTTAGTGATCCAATTGACATTTTACATTTACATTTTAGTCATTTAGCAGACGTTCTTATCCAGAGCGACAATTAGTGAGTGCATACATTTTTCATACTTGCTCTTTCAGATTCTTTCAGATTCTTTCAGATTCTTTCAGATTCTTTCAGATTCTTTCAGATTCTTTCAGATTCTTTCAGATTCTTTCAGGTTCTTTCAGATTCTTTGATCATTGTTGCAGCTCTCAAACACACACACACAAGTATCTCAGTATGAGAGTTCTTCACAGCATATTAACAAGGGTCACAAGGGTTAGAGGTCAAAGTAGGTCTGCTCCCAGGTTTGTGTGGTCGGGTGTTCGGCCCACTGGATCAGGTGACAACAACAGATAACTCAGGGTTTTAAGCAGACATGGACAAGACATCTGGAATAACTATTTTGTCTACTAGATTAGTGTGTGTTTGTGTGTGTGATATATCGTCTGATGTCCCCAGGGAATGTTCTCTGGAGAAGTCAGCAGGCAAATTCCCAGTCAAAGCTGAATGAAAGTCCCATGTCATACTCACTCCTCCCTCTCTCTCTCTCTCTCTCTCTCTCTCTCTCTCTCTCTCTCTCTCTCTCTCTCTCTCTCTCTCTCTCTCTCTCTCTCTCTCCACCTTTCCCCTGGCTTCTCTCTCTCTGTTTCTCTCTGTCTTTCTTTGTGCCACGGTGTTGCTCTCTCTCTGTTCAGTGTAGTCAGGTTGAGTGGTAGGAGGGAGAATGTATGGCAAAGAGTGAGGGTCTTACTGAGTGTGGGAGATGAGAGTGTGAGGGGTTTTTAGGAAGAAGAGTGTGGGGCAAGAGAGTGTGTGTGTGTATGTAAGTGAGGGCTGTGTGTTTGTGAGTGTGTGTGTGAGTGTCCGTGGGGTGAGCTGCTCGCGTGTCACATTCCAGCGTCCAGGGCTCGACCCCTGTCTACCTGGAGACGGACCTGGAAAACTTTGAAAAATCATTCGTAGAAAACTGTGTGATTGGAAAACCTCTGAAAACCTGTATCTCTCTGTGACTTTGAACTGCTGCTGGTCTTGCTCAGAAAATACTCATCTGTTGTAGGAGTGACAGAGGAGCTTACTTTTCATTGAAGGAGGGATTCTCTCTACTCTCCACTTCCTCTGTTTCTCCTGCTGGGTCTCTGGGCTTTGGATAGTGGTCTCGCTGGTGCCGCACTTACTACGGCTCAAAACCAGAGGAGAGGAGGGAAAAGGAGAGGGCAGATGAAGAGAGGAGAACATTACATTTAAAAACAGTTTCAATGGAATGGATTAATAATCTGTATCATGGATATGTAAGTATAAACAGTAGCCTATTTGTTTACGTTAATGTTCCCTTAACGTTTCTGATGGATGAGTGAGACATACAGTATGTGTCTTTGTGTGTGTATGAAGTTGTGTGTGTGTGTGTGTGTGTGTGTGTGTGTGTGTGTGTGTGTGTGTGTGTGTGTGTGTTGGATAATGTGTGGCATTTAGAGAAGCATAATAACCTAGTGTGTCACAGTGTGACTCCACTGCTGGTCTGTGGGTTTGGCTACAGGGTGCGTGTGATTGTATGTGTGTAGGGAACACACAAACAAACACACACATACACACACACACACTGGCACCAGCAGAGAGTTGTTGAGTTGATTTATGAATGGGGGGCTCCCACAGTATGGTTGTGGGGGGAGTGCAGACTATTTCTCTTTCTTGCTCTCCCTCTCCATCTTCCTCTCCAACTGCCTCGCCCTCTCGTTCAAAAAGACTGGAGGCCTGTAATATTGCTGTGTTTGGACTATAGCATGTTCTAACTATAATATCCTCTCTCTGTTTATTTATGTCTCTCTCTCTCTCTCTCTCGCTCTCTCTCTCTCTCTCTCTCTCTCTCTCTCTCTCTCTCTCTCTCTCTCTCTCTCTCTCTTTCTGTCTGTCTGTCTGTCTCTTTTTCTCTGTATTCCCATTTGGTCTTTAAGCAGGTTAATGAGATGGTTGTATGTTCAAAGCAGACAAGGGGGAAAGTCCAGTGTCACTCTGCATCAGTCTCAGAGTCAACACACACATGCACATGCACGCTCTTTTGGCTAAATTTGGTCTGAAAGCTGGAGGCTTGGTTTCTCTGGAATATTAATGGCCAGAGCTATGTATGTATGTGTGTGTGTGTGGGCATATTTCTTGTCAGAATTCTGCACACACTGGTCGGAGTCATGCCAAAGTGGGGTAAGAGTTGAGCAGTATGTGAGAGAAATAGGAGCCCAGTTTAAATCAGCACAGGGACTCTGCATTACAATGGACTATTGTGCTGTAAGACTGTCTGTCTGTCTCTGTCTGTACACGTCTGTGTCTATTACCAAGCAATAGGTTTTAGTCTGCACCTGCAGTCTCACAGAAACAGAGTGGAGACTTGAAGAAGAAAACGGAGAGAAGAAGGAAGAGGGGAGAAGAGAGAGGAAAGTAGAGGCTAAAAAGGAGAGTTCATGAACTGCTGAGTGTTTAGTCAAGTCATTCTAACTGTATCAGACTGTAATCCGTTAAGTAGAGTGTTCTAATGAGCTGTAACAAGTTTTAACGAGCTGTGTGTGAGCCAAGTCTGACTCTTATAAAACTCACCTATCATTATCAGCTCAGTCTGTTTGATAAGGACATCAGACAAACCATGCCTAGGTAATAGATTTAATTTAAACTTTAGCTGACCTGGTCAGTTTTCCACCTGGTCTGTTCCCCTCTTTTCCTCTTTGTTTCTCTCTCACCATCCCATCACAAAGCAGCCTTCATGGATTGTTTCACTGACAGTCAACTAAACTCAGTCTGAGTTCACACACAAGCACAAATATAATAATAACAATATGCCATTTAGCAGACGCTTTTATCCAAAGCGACTTACAGTCATGCATGCATACATTTTTGTGTATGGGTGGTCCCGGGGCTCGAACCCACTACCTTGGCGTTTCAAGCGCCATGCTCTACCAGCTGAGCTACAGAGGACCACACGTGCACAGCCCCTTCTCCCTATCTCAACCAGCTGTGATACTGTGTAGCCTACAGTTCCCTGTTCCTCATTTTCAGTATTGTTCAAATAATCTCCACGGAAGATAGATGAATATGTTCTGTCAAAAATTTACACAGGGCTTTCTCCCCCAAATTTAAGTTATTTATTTCCTTCTTTCTGTTGAGTGTGCATTTATGCGCTTGTGCCTGTGTGAGCGATTGCATGAGCGTATGTGAGAAAAGGAGAGAAGGAATATGAGTCCTATGTGTGTAGGAGGGAAGAGAATGAGAGGGGGAGTGCAGGAAAGAGAGAGGGGGAGAAAGTAGGTAGAAGGGGAGAGGGGAAATGGAAGAGAGGGGAGTTTTCTTCAGAGTTGCAGGTCTGTTATTCTGATCAGAGAATGACTCATGGACCCTATCCTCCCACACCTTCCCTCTTTCCCTCTTCTCTCTCTCTCTTTCTTTCTCCCCTCTCTCTCTCCCTCTCCTTGGAAAACCGTAAACCAAGGAGCCAGGCTCGCCAAACCATGAAAAGCAGCGCTGCCTTTCTAAGTTTACAGTGTTTACAATCTCTGAAATATTTTCCCTTTCACTAAATACTATCTTTGTGTCCTATCCTTCTGATTGGGTGGAAAGCCACTGTGTTTGGATAACATCTAAGTGGTATTTCTGGGCCTTTTTTGTTGCTTTATTGACTACATAACTGCAATGGCATGTTTACATGGGGGGAAAGTGGAAACCAATGATTGTCTCAGGCTCTGTAATTTTCTCTAGGCTCATCAGACAGACCCACAATCATCCAGGGCCATCAGAGTTTGAAACAGGGTTCATCGCTTGCTCAACGTTTATGTGACACTTTGATTGAACATGTGGCTAATTGGGGAGATACCAGGTTAGGGGCATTTCTCAGACTTTCTCATAAATCATGCAATAATTATGAGATAATCTAGAATGATCTTACTTTGTCACTCACTACTCTCCTTCCGTCCCTCTCTCCCTCCCCCCTATTTGAACCCTACAGTGACAGAGAAGACTGCTGTGCTGTTTTCAGCTGAGGACAAGAGAGAACTCAGTTCAGACTTTATGGAAGGGGGTAGACCGGAACAGATGACGCGCTAAGGGTCCAAACATTGTTTCCATAAAACCATATAGGATTAAAGACCAGAGTCAGCCGAGTCTGACTTATAGACAGAAGATACCAGCCTAGACCAGAGAGAGGCCAGACACAGTTAGTGACATCATCATGAATGCCCCACCCACAGGAAGTCCCAGCCCAAATATGGAGGTGAAGGTGGTCTCCCAGGAGATGGCGTTGTTTAGCAACGCCCTGGCGGCCTACACCTTCATAGCAGGTAAACATTGACTGATACAACAGTTGTACAGCACAAGAGGCTGCTGAGTGGAGGAAGGCTCGTAACAATGGCTGGAATGGAGTGAATGGAATGGTATCAAACACATGGAAACAATCTGTTTGAAGTGTTCGATACCATTCCATTGATTCCGTTCCAGTCATTACTATGAGCCCGTCCTCCTCAATTAAGGTGCCACCGGCCGCCTGTGGTGTACAGGTGTAATTGCTGTTGTTTGGAATATATTTTTGTTACAAATGATGATTGAAAAACATGTGCTGTTCAGGTGTCTGTCAGTGTTACCTGCATAAATAAAGAAGATTACTCTTATTATTTTCTGCTCTCATGCTCTTTGTTTGTCTCTCTTTCTCTCTCTCTCCTTCGCTCTCTTGTCTCAGACCAGCCGGAGCGAGCAGCTCTGGTGTTTGTTAGTGGTGTGTGTGTGGGTCTCCTTCTCACCCTCTGCGCCCTGGTGGTCCAGATACACTGTCGCACCGACTGTCACTACAGTAACGGACGGCGACATCACCATCAGCATAGAAACAAGACTCATCACCATCACCATAGGGACCATCACTGTCACCACCATCACCAACCTGGCAACCCTAATACAGGCAACCCTGGTGTAACCACAGAGACGAGCGAAGACAGCGACTCAGAGGACTGGGACGACAGGAACTCTGACCTCACGGCTCGACGACGAAGGCGCTTTGAGAGAACGCTGCTGCAAACCAGCGTTTTCACCTCCGCAGAAGGTAACACACACACTGCGTTGGAAACATTTGAAGTACTTTGTTGTTTTTTGTGGTTAAGTGTACAGTTTATTATTAAAATGTTCTGGAAGCAGTTGAAATAAAGTTGGTTTTGTTGTGTTTTGTTTTGGCCTGTAGAGTTGGAGCGAGCTCAGAGGGTTGAGGAGAGAGAGAGGATCATGCGAGAGATCTGGATGAACGGACAGCCTGATGTCAACACTGTCACACGCAGCCTCAACAGATACTACTGACAGGAACGGAGAAAGAGAGGATGAGAGACAGATAGAGAGAGAGAGATAGAGATAGAGAGAGAGAGAGAGAGAGAGAGAGAGAGAGAGAGAGAGAGAGAGAGAGAGAGACATACGGATGGAAGAAGAGAAAAAGAAAGGATAGGGAAATGATGCACTTTTTTTTAGACAATGTCACATTGAATGGTGCGTGAAGCCTACAGTAGTTGTGGACAGGACTGTTAGCCAGGGAGAGACAAACGGAAATTACACTGGGCACAGAGCCATGGAGAGAGGGTTAGGGTGTGTCTGACACAGTAATGTAGTGGTAAAGAAATAGGTGGGTAAACGCTGATCGCCGTTCGCGGTGAGTAAAGTAGCGTTCCTTATACTTTCAATGCATTTTCCACAAAAATTGCACAAAAAATAAAAAAGGTGCGTAGACGGCTTTTACGTGCGTTTATCCTCCACTACACCCCTGGTCTGACATGACACAAGGAGTATGCCAATCTAAGGCTTTTAGAGCTGTGATTATCACCATCACCATTGACAACGGCCCACAATTCACCTCTATGGAAATATCTGCTTTCCTGGCTGAACATTCTGGTTTTTGTACTTTGTACCAGACTGGTACTGTCTTACACAGCACAGTTCACAACAAGGACAAGGACCACAGAGAAAACATCTCAACTAAAATGGAATTTTTGCCTTCACTCAATCTTAATGTGTATTTAATTGATTCACTGTTGTATTTTGTGGATTAATTCCTTTTTATAAAATAGCAACACTTTGTTCGTTTGTCTCAGGGATGCTTTTAAGGGTTGTCGTTGGGGAAATTTTTGAATTTTGTAGATGAAGCAACAATCATTCCTTAGAGAGACTATAACGATGAAGCTGCGTCTGTTTGGTTTGTCAGCAGGAGTGTGCATTTATTAGGTAACTAGCACGGTTGTGTGCCTTAAATTTAGTCACGACAGACAGAGGCACTGCTCCAATACAGCCAGCTCCGGAACAGTGCCCTTCAGATAATAAGTGCAATACACTCCCTGTACAGCCCTTAAGAAGCCACCACCATATTGCTAACACCTATCTGCTCCCTTCAGATGTGAAACACTGAAGAGGTAGCTATAGTCTCTACTATATGTATTGCTTTTGGAGTGACGTGGGGTGGTGCAACACTACCTTGTGATGTTTTGAATAGGTTAAATGGTGCAACACAACAGTATTATTCTCTCTGCAGTGTTTCTGGGTGTTTCCCCTAGCTTGTCGTCTGTATTAGAAAAGCTGTCCGTAAAGTGAAACGTCTCTCTGAGAGAGAGGTTCTGTATGCATCCTTCCTTCCTCTCTTCCTTGAGTTAATCACAGATCTGAGAGAGGTGGATAGGTGAAAACAGTAGGATAGCCTTGCCACTTTGTTCTCACTTATCCAGTCAATACAGATCAGTGATTTCCTCAAGGAAGGGAGAAAAGAAGGAAATAAAGATTGCATTAAAGGATACTTTAATTAAGTACTCAAACAGACTGAGACCAACACACTGACCTTTTATTGAATAATAAAACCCTTTAGAAACAAATGATCTGCCTGTTTTGGTCTGTCCTGTGAGTTTATACTACCATCTGCTGTTAACTGTAATGCACTACACCACTTTTTCAATCCCTCCAAAACTAGGCAGTATGCATGAAGGGGCTTCCTTTCCAAATCTTTGGTAAAATTCTGAGTTATTTGGGAACAAATGCCATCACGAGACAAATATTGTATTAACTATCTAATACAGGACACTAAATACTGTATTAACTATTTATTATAAAAGTCATGCTGTACCAATGTTACTCATTATTTGAAATGACAAAAATCTGAGACTTTGGTTTTAAAGGGGCAATCAGCAGTTGAAACAATAACAAAGGACTACACGTCCCCTTTCGGTAAAAAGCTGAGGGATGGGGCTGGAGAAATGTAACCACTCTCAAATTCATAGACAGAGCAATGACTGCAAGGACTGGCCATCCATGAAATAAACATTATAATTGTAACCATGTTTTGAGGCTATATAGTGTTTGTTTACAAACATTGGAATTAAAAAAGCGTATATTTTGGATTCTGATGGGGTAAGACAGTTGCACTAAGCTCATGAGGCATTTATAATATATATTCGTCAAGAATCAATGGGTACATATCATTAATTTATATGTCCAAATATACATTTAGCAACTGCAGATTGCTCTTTTAATGCGCGGGCTATGACGTCAGAAGCCATCTTCAGAAGAAAACGGAACCGAGCAGAGAGCGCGGTACCCTATTTACCTTGGACCGGATTATGCTGCATGGGACTCATCACAAAAACAACACAGCAGTTAAAGATTCTTCATCTCCGTGATGAGACAATACACCACGTCCCGGGACATGGCCAACCCGGGAGGCTCGTGCGTGGCCTGCTGCCAAGTTTGCGTTTTCGCGTTTACAGCATTTCTCATTGTGGCTGAGCGGACTGCGCGTAAGTTTAGCACTGCGGTTACCGAGAACGACCGAAACGCAACCCTCCGGTGATGGAGATAGGCCTGTTATATCTCTCACCACACCTATGCTACACCACGTCATATCATATCAGTACAGTGTTAAACCAGGAAAGGCTGCATGCATGATGGTTTAATTCATTCATATTTCCTAAAGTATAAAAATGTTCATCTGCATTTGCAGATACATTAGAATCATTATACTGACTGGTGTTGTTGATCTAGATTTACCCAGGTGGTCATGAAACCATGCAGCAGCACAGCCGCGAACACATTACAGCTGTAGATTTAGTTATGCTAATAGAAAAGTGGCGCATTTTTGTCATATTCGAGGGCATTTTCTGGGTGCCATGAATGGATAGCGGATTGGCCGGACCCTACTCTACCCTACCCTCTCTCCTATACCGACCGTCTGGTCCGGCAGATGGTTCATATTACTGGGACAGGAGAGGAAGAAAGAGGGAGGGAGGGCGAGGGAGGAGAGAGAAAATGCAGATCTGAAGGGAGAGAGCACCGCATCGTTCGTTCAGTGGATCTCCCATACATGAGGCGCGTGCATTTTGTAGCCTATTAGAGATACGGAGACAGCGCAGAATCTCCCAGACCCTACGCTGTCCTCAGCCTACAGTCGCACACACACATACAATGCTGAAACTGCCCTTGTTCAAATGCTTAGTACACTTTTGTGGTCTCGAGTCAGAACAAATATTAATTAGGATATTAACTACACATTAGTTAGATAATAATTACATATTGACATATTGATTACCTTTTGCCCATTCACATTTGTACTTAAACACCATCAGCAATTAGACTATAAAAAAAGTGTATCAGTGTGTAGATTTACTGTATGTCATCTCTAATCTAATCATCTACCTGTGCATGTGTCTCCACAGTGATCTATTGTTTCGTGTACTACCTGTGGGTGGGGCATAACTACTGCTACGGCCACTGGGCGGGGCTAACGGCCTTGTTTCTCCTCCCTGGATGGGGCCCCCAGTTGCTAAGTTGGCTGTGGTACCAGGCAGATGGACATATACGCAGCAAAGATCTCAAATGGACTCACATCCTGCACCTGGGCATCTTTAGAAGGTAACGTACTACACAGCTAATTAGGCAGTGTTGATTTTTCAGTGTAACATTTCTATTGTTGATTCAGGAGTTAAATTCACTCTGCAAGTGTGAAATTAACACTCAGTGGCATAAAAGAGCCCCCATTGTTGGTGTTAATAACCAGAGTTGTTGTTTTACACTGTAGAGAGTAAAACAGTCCCATACCCATCAATATATTTCCCAGCATGCTCTACTATAGGTATATTTTTTAGGATTGTTTTAAATATCTGTTTTTGCATGTACATTGATTGATTTATCTTATACACAAAGATAAATAACATACATTTTTCAAAACGAATCCAATCAGTTAGTTAGATTTATTGCACCCGTTACCGATTTAAATGGTTTAGGTAGTCTTTTTTATCAAGTTTTCTAACCCTGACAGCCATTCTGAATGCAGTTTGCGGGTGAATAAAAACTGTTGGATATCCTAACTCTGGCTGGATTCCAATAGGAATTACACATCACTTTGCAAGCCAGCATAATGTGACTTGCAGGCCTGATGTGGCCTGTAAACCAGGAGTTTCCTAACACCACTGTGTTAAGGCGTCCGCATGCTTTCCCCTCAGAAACAGTTCGGAACAGTTCGTGCATATATTATGATGACATTTTGTGACGTTTTTGTTCGTTTTGGCCTTCGGCAAGGGTTTGTGAACACAATAAAAATTCTCGAGGCAAGCCGAAGATCGGAAGCCGAAGTCTACGCCGATTCGTAGGTGATTGGTCAACAGTAGTGATTCTTCAATAAAGTGTTTGTTGTCATTCAACGATAGAAGACTCGTTTTCATGCAGTTTTTTTTTTTACTTGAGAAATACTGCACCAAACATCCTAGTTAGATGTACAATTGCGCGACTAAGCTCTCCTCGACAAAAACGTCTACATTTATGACAGATTTCTTGAGTTATGTGACTATTTTGAGGATGTGTACTGGCTACGATGTCTGTGTAAATCGCTTTGGATAAAAGCGTCTGCTAAATGGCATATTATTATTATTATTATTATTATTATTATTATTATTATTATTATGGACAAACAGTACTATTGCCCCTTTTTTCTTGTTTTTCAAGCGAAGGGCTTTTCAAGCTACGGTCAAATGTATGCGAGCACACTCGTGCGGTTCGAACCAAAGCTCGCAGAAGCCTTTAGGGTAAAACTAGGCCATCAAAGTAAGGCCTTATGATACAGTGGGGAGAACAAGTATTTGATACACTGCCAATTTTGAAGGTTTTCCTACTTATAAAGCATGTAGAGGTCTGTAATTTTTATCATAGGTACACTTCAACTGTGAGAGACGGAATCTAAAACAAAAATCCAGAAAATCACATTGTATGATTTTTAAGTAATTAATTTGCATTTTATTGCATGACATAAGTATTTGATCACCTACCAACCAGTAAGAATTCCGGCTCTCACAGACCTGTTAGTTTTTCTTTAAGAAGCCCTCCTGTTCTCCACTCATTACCTGTATTAACTGCACCTGTTTGAACTCGTTACCTGTATAAAAGATACCTGTCCACACACTCAATCAAACAGACTCCAAACTCTCCACAATGGCCAAGACCAGAGAGCTGTGTAATGACATCAGGGATACAATTGTAGACCTGCACAAGGCTGGGATTGGCTACAGGACAATAGGCAAGCAGCTTGGTGAGAAGGCAACAACTGTTGGCGCAATTATTAGAAAAGGGAAGAAGTTCAAGATGACGGTCAATCACCCTCGGTCTGGGGCTCCATGCAAGATCTCACCTTGTGGGGCATCAATGATCATGAGGAAGGTGAGGGATCAGCCCAGAACTACACGGCAGGACCTGGTCAATGACCTGAAGAGAGCTGGGACCACAGTTTCAAAGAAAACCATTAGTAACACACTACGCCGTCATGGATTAAAATCCTGCAGCGCACGCAAGGTCCCCCTGCTCAAGCCAGCACATGTCCAGGCCCGTCTGAAGTTTGCCAATGACCATCTGGATGATCCAGAGGAGGAATGGGAGAAGGTCATGTGGTCTGATGAGACAAAAATAGAGCTTTTTGGTCTAAACTCCACTCGCCGTGTTTGGAGGAAGAAGAAGGATGAGTACAACCCCAAGAACACCATCCCAACCGTGAAGCATGGAGGTGGAAACATAATTCTTTAGGGATGCTTTTCTGCAAAGGGGACAGGACAACTGCACCGTATTGAGGGGAGGATGGATGGGGCCATGTATCGCGAGATCTTGGCCAACAACCTCCTTCCCTCAGTAAGAGCATTGAAGATGGGTCGTGGCTGGGTCTCCCCACTAGTGATGGGTCATGCGCACAAGCATCGGCTCTGAGAGCCGGCTCTTTGTAGTGAATCAGAAGAGCCGGCTCGCATCGAGTGAGAGCCGGCTCCCAGTTTTTTGCCCATTCGCTGCTTAGGTTTCACTTTCACAGAGGTCTGTTATGATTGGCCAGCATGGCGACCAGCATGCGGCATTCACGTGAGAATTAAGGATGTGTAAACAGAGAGGGGGCGGGGCAGACACACCACTTGACTCCACTGCAAGTGAAGAGAGAGACAGAGCGGACTGAGGAGCGTGTGTGCGTCTTGCATTGTCGTGTCGTTTAACTATGAGTGACACTAGAAAGCGAAGCAGCATCTGGCTGCAGTTTAAAGATATTGGGAACAAGAAAGCAGAGTGCCTTCACTGCAAAACGAAGGTCACTATAAGAGCAGGTTCCACCACAAACCTGCATAGACATACAAGAACTGTCCATCCTACAGTGCAGTTAGAGGAGAGAGGGCAAGCCAGCTCACCATCTACTGATCCTGGTGTGTCTCATACCAGAACAACAGCTGCTGTAACGTCTACTGCCATCCCCATGCGTGCAAGTATAACCTCTCCTACTGCAACTCAAAGCAAAATAAGTCAGTTTTTACCTAAACTGATGACCCCAGCCAAACAGCACAGTATTGATGATGAGTTGGCTAAAATGGTAGCTTCTGATTTTCAACCCTTTTCCATTGTGGAGGACAAAGGAATGAAAAACTTTGTCAAAGCCCTAAATCCCACATACACTCTACCCAGTAGAAAAACACTTTCCCAAACAATGATCCCAAAACTATATGACACAGAACGTGCATTATGGCAAGAAAGGGTGACAAAAGCTCCATCAGTTTGCCTGACAACTGACTGCTGGACCTCCAGAACAACCTGCTCTTTCATGTCTGTCACTTGCCACTTTATTGAAGATTACAAGATGACATCTTGCCTTCTGGACTGCTTCGAGTTCACCGACAGACACACTGCAGAAAACTTGGCAGTGGAGCTACTAAGAGTGGCAAAAGAGTGGCAAGTAGAGGACAAAGTGGTGTGCTGTGTGAGTGATAATGCTGCAAACATCACCAAAGCCATAAAAGTTTTGAAGTGGACCCATCACCCATGTCTGGCGCATACACTAAACCTGGTGGTTAGAGATGCTCTGAAGGTGATCAAAACAACCGTGGATAAGGTGAAGGCTGTTGTGGAGTTTTTCCACAAAAGCACAGTAGCAGCACAGAAGCTAAAGTCCACACAGCGCCAAATGGGGATTCCTGAACTGAGGCCCAAACAAGAGTGTGCCACCAGGTGGAACTCAACATTTGATATGTTGAAACGAATGCTTGAAATAAAAGATGCCATCATCTCCACCCTGGCCCTCATCAACGCATCTATTGAGCCATTAAGCCAAGAGGAATGGGAGCTGGTGAAAGAGGTCTGCGCCGTCCTGCAACCATTCCAGGAGGTGACTGTGGAGATAAGTGCAGACAGGTACCTAGAACCATTGAAGCATTGTTTTCTCTACTACTATTCAGTCACTATTATACATTGCAAACACAACACATACAGTATAATGCATCACGTATAATATGCCACATACTTTTAAAAAACTAAATTCTAAAAGTTGCTGTTTTCTCTCCTTCAGCTATGTCACAGCCTCGAAAATGCTCCTGCTTTGCAAAGGTCTGCAGCTGGTGACAGCCGAGAACCAATGGACAGTAACTGTGCAGAAAGTGAAGGAATTAGTTGCAGCTCTTTGTTCAGCCATGGACCGCAAATTTCTGCGGATGGAGTACAACACTGTCCTTTCAGAAACTACCTTATTGGATCCAAGGTTTAAAAAACTTGCCTTCAGTGATCGTAGAGCTGTTGATGAAGCTCTTCAGAGGATTAGTGCAGCAGCAGCAGCAAAATGCACCCCCAGCAGCCAGCCAGCTCCACCATTACAGGGCCAAGTGGAGGAGGAGCAGCAAACCTCTGCTGTTTGGAGGCTTTTTGATGACAGAGCTACAGGAGATGCTTCAAGGAGAAATCCGACAGCTGATGCTATAATGGAGGTGAGGAGCTACCTTGAGGAGCCCCTCATCCAGAGAGCAGAAGACCCACTGAGCTGGTGGCAGGCCAAGGCCTCAGTCTTTCCACTCCTGGTGAAGGTGATGGAGGGGAGACTATGTATTGTTGCCACATCAGTTCCTTCTGAGAGAATCTTCTCCAAAACAGGGCAGATACTCACGGAGAGGCGAAATCGTATCAGGCCTATCAGCCCATCCAAGCTGAGGCATCTGATCTTCCTGAATGCCAACCTGCCCTGAGGACTAATGCTGTTTGCTGGAGTTTGGTTCTGGTTTTGATTCTGTTCTGTGGATTTGTTTGAAGTTTATTGTTAATTTGTGCAATAAAAAAGTTTAATTGAAATAAACAAATGTAAGAGTGGTTTTGTCACAGAATAAATGCACAGAATTAGGCATTATAAGGTCTCTCATAAAAACACTGAAAGCAAAAGGGTTTTCAACACATAAACCATGATTTTTTTTCAAAGTTAAGGTAAAATATAGGCTACAAAAGATCCTAAATAAAGAGCCGTTCGGGAGTCGAAAGAGCCGGCTCTTCTTTGGGAGCCGAGTCAAAAGAGCCGGCTCTCAGAAAAGAGCCGAACTTCCCATCATTACTCCCCACTGTATATGTAACATTTTAATGATAACATTCACTTACTGTATGGACTCATTTGGTGAAAGCCACAGGTCTTTAAAATGAAAGAATTCAACAAGCATATCTCTGTCACTAACAAATACAGTCATGGGTGGTAACTTAAATTCACTCAAAAAGAAAAGGCACCATGGGAAATATGCAAATTAGGCTTTACTCCATATAACAGGTTACCCCACCTGGTGGACGGCGGGCCCCCCAAGTTTTCTGAGCAAAAAAATGACAAATATTCTTATTTATTTTTTGGGACATAAAAGACTGTAAAAACACCAGCAAATCAGCTCAAAGTGATTTTAATATGGAAATCTGTTCAAAAGTACTCCCACACATAGTAGAGAGATATATGTGATCGTATACAAACGTAAGCAAGGTTTGAAATTATTATGTTTTAGTCAAACATTATATCAGTTTGGGCTTTTTGCAGTCTATAAATTATTTGTAATTATGTTCCGGCCCCGTGATCATCCGCTCAATATTTTTTTTTATTTTTTTTTATTTTTATGATTTTTTTTTAATGATTTTTTTTTTTCTCACCTTTATTTAACCAGGTAAGCCAGTTGAGAACAAGTTCTCATTTACAACTGCGACCTGGCCAAGATAAAGCAAAGCAGTGCGATAAAAAACAACAACACAGAGTTACATATGGCCTGTGGCTGAATCTAGCTGATGATCCCTGCCATACAGTGTTAAAACAACACCCAAAATGACTTACTGTGACAGTGTTTTTGTTTAACAATAATAGTAGTTAACGCTAGATCAAGTGTGAGTGTTAATTACCCCATAGTGTTAAATTTGAGTTACACTGGCAAGTATAATGCAGTGTACATTTTTTACACTACGGAGTGTTACATTAACACTATAATCAGAGCAGTTTTTACACTCAGAGATAGTGTTAAAATTAACTATTTAAGTGTTGATTTAACACTGCAAAATTTGCTGTGTACTGCTGTAGTACCTCTTTGGGGTTAGAGGTCAGAGGTGAGAGGTCAGCGATGAAACAAAAACACTAAGCTGAACTCTGTGTTGAAGTGTCTCACTCCCTCTAACTCTGTGTTATGTGTGTGTTCCAGGTTATGGGAGACTATGACATCCACTGGAGAGGATCGGTGTAGTGAGATAATGCAGCAGGCTGATGTTTCAGCTCTCCGCCTGTTGGAGGCGCTGGTGGTCACTCTGCCACAGACTATCCTGCAGACATACGTCCTCATCTGTACCGATGTAGGACTCTCTTCACCAGGTACTACACGTGTGTGTTTGTGTGTGTTTGATACAATCACCCTACAGAGTATTCATGTTATCTCTCCCTCCACCTCTCTCCCCCTACCCTCTCTCTCTCCCCAACCTCTCTCTCTCCAGTGTCAGTGTGTTTTGCGGTGTGTCTGCTGTCCCTGGCCTGGGCCTTAGTGCTGTATGCCAGAGCCTGTTCCCTCATCAGACCTGGACATCTCCCCATGACCCCCGCTGCTATCGCCTGTAGACTGCTCTGGAGGGTAGGGGGGCTGGCTGGGCTGGGCTGGGTGTGTGTTTGTGTGCGTGTATGTGTGTTAGTAACAGACTTATTGTATTGTGTTTAGGTCAGTATGTTGGGAGCACGTCTCGCCACCCTCACGCTCTTCACACGCCTGTTCCGCCAGTGGGTACTTGGAGTTATTGGTGAGTGTGTGTATATGTGTCTCTCTTTTAGTGTGTGTTCGTAGATAGATATATGTGTGTGTCAGCGGAGGCTGCTGAGGGGAGAACGGCTCATAATAATGGCCGGAATGGAGCAAATGGAATGGCATCAAACACCTGGAAACCATGTGTTTGATACCATTACCACGAGCCCATTCTCCCCAATTAAGGTTCCACCAACCACATTTGACATTTTAGTCATTTAGCAGAAGCTCTTATCCAGAAGGACTTACAGTTAGTGAGTGCATACATTTTCATACTGGCCCCCCGTTGCAAGCGCCATGCTCTACCAACTGAGCTACACCTGTGATGTGAGTGTGTGAACGTTCAGTGATGTTTGTCCTGCTCCTGTGTGTCTCAGGTCTTCACTGGTTGGGTGCTACGTTCTGGTTGGTGTCGCAGCAGAGTGACATCATTAAAACGCCACTGCGCTGGCACCTGTTCAACCTGGTTCTGGGAGCTATTCACATCTTCCTCTTCCTCAACGTCAAAGACGGAGCCTCCAGATGCCGCATGGCCGGCTTCTACTTGGTGTGTATGTGTGTTTGTTTGTGTGCGTGTGTGTGTGTGTGTGTGTGTGTGTGTGTGTGTGTGTGTAACTCTCTCTGCTCTCTCCTGCAGGCCATGTTTATCGAGAACGCTCTTCTTCTGCTGGCAGGTTCCGACTTCTTCAGTGTTGCATCATGGGATAGCATGGGTATCCCAGCCGCCGTGTTCTGTAGTTTCCTCATTGGTGAGACATGCACACGTGCACGCACACACACACACTTACACTCACACTCACACTCACACTCACACCACACTCACACACACTCACACACTCATATTTCGGTCTGTGTTATTACAGGAGTGATAGCTTTAGTCCTATACTACCGGTTCCTCCACCCTAAGTCATTTGAGATCTTCCAGAGCATACGTCACCATGGAATGAGCGGAGCTTGTGCGGACCGGGGCTCTTCTCTCTCATTGGAGGAGAAGAACCATCGCCACGGTCAACTTGTGGGTGGCGGGAATCTGCTGGAGCTCCCTAGCCAATGGCAGGGATGGAAGCACCACCACTGGCTGCTGATTCGCCTAGCCCTGAAGACGGGTGATGTGGCTAGAATAAGCCATGCCTATGGCGAAGGGGGATTGGCCGGGCTGCTGGGACTAGAGGAAGAGACTCTGCCAAGGTCCCCAGACATTCCGCAACGTTCTCTCAACGTTCCACAACATTCCCCCAACGTTCCACAACATTCTCCCATCGTTCCCCAGGTTGACCAGGTCAGACAGGTGGAGGAGGTGAGATGAGCACCCAATTCCATTTGTTCCCCTTCTCCTGAAGTGTACCCTTGACAGGTTGTTGTTGTTGTCAAGCTCCTGTGTCATGTTTGGATGTTCAGAACTCCTATCTTTTCCAAATAAATCTGCACTCTGGTATCTGCTTTTGAAAGTTCTGTTTTCATGTGGATGAAGCGTTGTTTGTCTTAAAACAGAGCAGGGTGCAGAATTATTTGCTATTCTCTACTACTGTTGGATGTTCTCTGATAAGTTATCTATTTCCAGGATGTGAGAACAGGACAAATATAAGTAACAACCAAATTATTATTATTATAGAATATCATTCACCATAGCTGTCCTTCTTCTTCCTAGGTTATAAAGGCAGCCCAAGCCAGAGACATCATCAGTGAGGTGAGACAGGCAGTGAGACAGGGGGAGGTGAGACATGTGCTGCCCTCACCCTCTCCCATCCATGAAGTCAACCCGCCGCTGGTGGAGGTCCTAGTTGAGGAGGTCAGAGGTCACCTCTCTGAGCCCACCAACCCGCAGGACAACTCCAGCCCCCCTCCTTCCAGCCCCCCTCCCTCTGACGATCGAGACGACGAAGACTTCCAGAGCGCAACGTACTGCTCCCCCACACCGTCTTCTCCCAAGTACCCAGACTACCGCCACATCGACAGCAACGTGGTCACCTCAAACACCGAAGGGTCATCTTCTGCAGGGTCACTGGATGTCAGACGTGGTTCGTCTCCAGAGAGGTCACCGTCCCTGCTGTTGGGCATGGGAAGCCCCCAGCGGAACTTTAACCCCACGGAGTCTGGCACCACCTTGTACTTCAGCAATGACCCAGTCTCCCCGTCCAGTGGCAGTTACCTGGGCTGGGGGTCTGAGCTGTCACCCATCTCCACCTACCGGAGCCCCTACCGCATCAGGGAGCCCCTCTTCACCTCCACCCCCAGACAGGAGCCTCGTGCTGGGCCAGAGGAACCAGGTCCTGGCCCCTCTACCACCGCCACCACCACCATCACCACGCATGCTAGAAAACAACTGGTCCAGTTTGTAGACCATAGAGATAAATTGATCTAAAGGGGGACAATGGGTGTAGTGAGATGATCAGACCTGGTCAAATACATGTAAAATACTCTCAAATACTTATTGAGGTGTGTTTGATTTCGCTTGACCGGTGTGCAGCTGGTTGGGAGGAGTTTACACTTTTGGGACTATTTCATTGGTTCCATTGTACCACTGTTCCATTCCATTCCAAGCTAAATCAAGTGTGCCTAAAGTATTTGAAAGTATTTAACATTATTGTATTTGACCCAGGTCTAGAGATGATATAGAACACAATAAATAGAGAGTATGTTACAATATATATGACGTTAGCCTGGGTGTAAGGCTGGTTCAGTATTCAACAGTGCTATTACAACATCGTTTTCATGCCAGACAACTGGTCTATTACTAGCCATGGGCTTGTTGACTAAATTAGAACCAGCTCGGCCCCCAGGCTAGCCAGACGTGTTTCACACTAAATATCAATAGCTTGTCTTGTGTATCCATTTTAATCAGCCAGTGTGAGATTGTGAATCCACATGTATCTATCACACACAAACACACTAACATAGAAGCTGCACTGGAAGTAGTCTTTAATGAAGGAACAGTGGGATATCCTTTGCTCTTAGGCCCCGATTCAATCAATCACAGATATAGAAAATTGCACTGTGGGTATACTCCGAATGTCCATGCTGTATTCTTTTAAAAACAGATTGGGTTTCATGTTGACATTGAATGATAATGTCCGTGAGAGTAATAGCGTGTGGTGTGTCAGATTTAACATGGTTAACACCTCTGCTAGAGCATATACCATAGAAATAGAATCTAGAAATAGAATCGAAAACTAGATTATATATTTCTATGGCATAAAAATTGTGAGTGAACCCTCAGTGTGGTTTACTTTATGCTATGGGTTGAATTAGTGCCACCATAAGGCGTTATGATTCATCATTAGGCTATAATATCTTAAGTTATGGTTTATTAAGGTTTGACAGAGAAGAGAGTTTATATTTTTGACATTGTTTCTTTCTTTCTTTTATATAACTAAAATAATTTGAAGCAGTTTGCACTTTTATGAGGTATTACGATATGATTGGGTAATTGAAGGGGAGCTATTGGTTAGTCAATAGAGACACTCTCGTCACATTAAATTTTTTACATTTTAGTCATTTAGCAGACGCTCTTATCCAGAGCGACTTACAGTTAGTGAGTGCATACATTTTTCATACTGGCCCCCCCGTGGGAATCGAACCCACAACCCTGGCATTGCAAGCGCCATGCTCTACCAACTGAGCTACACGGTGCCTGTTAGGGTTTACAATACTATTATAGGCTACTGTATATACATTAATTATTATTGTATCCAAATGTGATATTTCATCTAAAGGGACTCTAGCAATATAAGGTAATGTACGTAAATACTTTTACTATGTGAAATTTAAACCGATATTCTTACTCTTATTTACAATTTGTTTACAGCTAGTCCCGACATGTCAAGCAGACCATTCGGTCTGATAGGTACTAGTATTTAAATATTTATGACATTATTCAAATGTGTTCAGTGTTTCAATTCATTTCGGTCAGTATAGGTGCTATTTCTAAGTCTTGAATTCACCTCATATGGTGAAGATGTAAGATCATTGTGAACCATTGTAGGGAGGAATCATTTCTACTTCTGTGAGACAGGAGAAAGATCCAACTAATCTTATCTATTCAAGTGGCATCAAAGCAGAGTGTATCTATCAGTGTGGAAGTGCCTGAAACAAGCTGCTAGTAGTATTGATGAGCTTCCAGATCCTCTACAGTCTGGTCATATTTCTGTCCCTATCCCTTACCTTAGTCCCTAAAGGGGCCCTTTGTTCCTAGAAGGGGCTAGGGAGAGAAATAGAGCTAGGCCTATCTAGAGGTTATGTCATGCGCTGCTATGGATGTTTGGAGGTCAGTGTTATCAGAATGTTGTGTTTTTTACTTGGTTTTTTACTGTTGTTTATTTTGTTTGATTGGTTTTATAGTGAATTCAGAACTAACTTTGTCCCCAGGCTCAAGAGAGAGAGAGAGCCAGCTGGGGACGAGATCAGTTCAGAACTATTGTTTTATCTCTGTTGATATAAAAGGGAATGTGTGAGCTAGCTAGAGCTGAGGAAAATGGTACGACTGCATGCTCGTCCTTATTTTTATACATGTGAAAAGAGAAATCACTTACACACACGTTGCATTAACCAGCTTTTAGAATATATGTCTATGCAAAGTTAATATACTAGCTAATATAGCCTACTAATATCAGCATGTACTTTTAAATGTATGTTAGTGCTCTGACACGCTTTAGAACGCTATCTCAATGCCTGGCTTGATAATCAAAATAATGAAATTGTGATCAGTGCTTGCCTTGTAGAAACTACAGCATCAGCTGCAATGGCTGTCAGTGTCATTGCCTTATCTGTATATGTTCATCACAATGAATGGATGGTGCGCTCGCATTTTCAGTTTCTTGCATTTTATACATACATTTTTTATTGTGGCCACATTTACTGAATGAAATGTGTACAGTAGTGTGATTCACTGTGTTTTGACTAGGTACGATTTGATGTCTGTACTTGACAATATGCATTAACAAAATGTTGTTGTTGTTGTTTTTATTATTATTGTTATACCAGGTGAATGTCATGCATCTGATTGCTTCATGTAATGTCATTATTCAAATAATACAATGGTTATTAATAATTGGATAAAGTACACCTGAATAAACACTAGCATTACCACTATGGAAGGGTGCTGTGTTTCTAATGTTTATCTAGCCATGCAGACGACCAGTGTTCAAGCCCAGTCAATCACACCTTCTTTATTCTGTTTCTTCATGATTATCTAATCAGTTGTTTGTCAGCTGAGTAAACGAACAGAGGAACAGAAAGAAGACTGATCATTCATTTGTTACACAATAGCTTTTCTGTGGTTTATGGCTTTTGTCCTCTGATGCTTTATTTTATATGATGACTTTGCTTGCTTTGCAGTCACAAGTTGTTCTTGAAATGCAGTATTTTGTGTTGAAGATCCTTTAAACTTAGCCTGATGTGAGTTAGCAAATGCAAATCCTATAGGCCTAAGTTTCTGCTTCACCTGCATCAGCTAGAACACTGTCATGTAGCAAGAATTTCTGTCTGCAATTGTGCACATTTCATTTCACCTGAATATACCCCCTACTCATCATAGTTGTTGTAAATAACTAGGCCTATAGTAGTTACATCATAGGACTATTGTATCAATGTACAAGTTACCAAATCTTCTAATCCAATCTGCATCTGCAAGAGTCACGAGGGCGATGAGCGTAAGAGGCGCATGACAAGTCACGTGATTTACCGGATTTAAACGCCAGATTCAGAACTGAAAGGTGAAAGCTACAAAATATATTTTTTGACGAGAGGTGGATGTGTAGTGTAACTGTTATTCGGCACACCTGACAAGCAGATAACAGGTAATTTATTTTATTTGATTTCACATTTGTTTTGAAACTTGAGGAATGTGAATGTAGCTACAGGAACTGGCAACAGTGTTAGCTAGCTAGTTTGTTAGATAGTTTACGTTAATTACTGTAGGTAACAGTAGCTAAATTTAGCTACGCTAGTTCGCTGAACTCAACAAGCTAGCAACATTGTCGTCTTGGAATAAGACAGCAATGGATAGATAGATAGATAGATAGATAGCTAGTTAGTGTCTATTTCCTGATTTACATTTTGTTGTGACAAACAGAACATTATTAATGTTACTTAGAATTACTAGCTAACGTTAGACAGTTTAAAATGAAGCTGTGTTGTGTCAGCTAACTACGTTACTTTCAAAGTGACAATTATAAAATTGGTTGATAACTTGTTTTCGAGATACGCGTGTGTGTGCTATGAATTGTGTAATGACTATCTGCAATGACTAGATAACTCAATACATTTCTCAAAGGCATTTTATGAAAGGGCTCAGATAAGTTCCCTACCCTGTGTAAACAACATGCCTGGACTGGTATGTAACAGAAATCCTGGTTTCATTGTAAACAAGACTGATATTTCTGGATAAGAAATTGAAAGCCAGACACTCACTGTAACTGGATCTCAAAGTTACTCTTGTGGTGTAGAAGTCAAGTGTTATTCACTCCTGGCCACCCTGTGTATAAGCATTTATCAGTTAATTTTCCATGTGATGAGGCTAGTGATTCATGTCAAAGCAGAACAATAAGTCACTGATGACAAGTACTCTTTCATTTCCTCTCTGTGGGTTTATGAATGCCTGTTCTGACAGTTTGAAGTTCAGGTATTTTCTCCTTACTAAACACTGCCCTGTTTATGTCCTTTTGAGACTAGTTTAGACATTGTTAGAGTTACCCTATCCTTGACCTACTGATGGAAGATGCGGTGCTGCTTTATCAATTGCCAGTGGGACAGCATGTTGCACCAGTCTCAGACAGGATGGAAAACAATATCTTATAGGCATGTAGCAATACCCCATGTAGCAATACCCCTAATTCAAAAAATGACATCTGAAAGTCTTCGTGACTCATATGTTCCTCTACCATATGACCAGTGGTGCTGTGCTTTAGAGAAGTGACTATCTTTAGGGAAGTAGTACTTCGCTGCCTGGCTGGCTGACCCTTGTCTATGCTGAGTTGAGAGGAGTTGTAAGCAGTCATGTTGAGGGGAATTTCCTGTAGAAGTACTTGCCTGTTTCTACATGATCTTGCTGCTGACTCATGCCTGCCATGTGACATCAAGTTTTTCCCTCCAGTTAAACGGAAGTCCTCTTCTTTCTGTCCTGTTGATCTGATTGTCCTGAGTGGTCTGTTCTGTGGCCTTGCTCTTAAGAGCTGCTTTAGTTCAGCTCGTGTTTGTGTCCCTGCATGACTGCATGCTCTCGTCACAACACTTGTGACTCCATGATGCCAGTCAGCAGGTGGTAGGTCTACATGTGGCATTAGCTTTGTTATTAACTAGGGGATTACGCACCAAACCTGTTGTGTTGATTAGGGCCTAGCCTTCACCCTTACTCTTTACAAGGATCAAATGGGGTGGAGCGCCTAGTTTCTTTCAACAGTTGGTGGGACAATTCCCATCGTCAGTCGACATCGCTGTAAATGTGCCACACTCCACATTTAGTCAAAAGTCTAATTTCCATCTGTGAGTGTCTAGATAGAGGGTTGACTTCATCTGAGCAAGCAACTGCAAATGTCCTAAACTACATTGCCTTACTCTTCTTTAGTGTTTGAACTCCAGTTCCCATTATGCCGTTGTGTCCCTACAGGAAGTGATGTGGCACGTGGCATTCCTGGTGCTGGTGTCTGGGCTATCAATCAGCTTGGCCCGGCCCCGCCTACCTCCGCTCTCCCACGAGATGGTTGACTACATCAACAAGGCCAACACTACCTGGAAGGCTGGCCACAACTTTCATAATGTGGACTACAGCTATGTCAAGAGGCTGTGTGGCACCCTGCTCAAAGGACCCAAACTCTCCATCATGTGAGTGTCAGCTGTGTGTGTGGGTTGTATTGATGGAATGTACTAGCTAGTGTATTTTTGCTGTACAAGAAGGAAGTGAAAATGGATCTGTCAATAGAAATGAACACAAGCTTCAGATTCTGCCAACACTACACAGTAACAGTACACATGTTCAGTCTTGGTCTTCTCCTGTCACACTCTTTCTCCTTTCTCTCCCTCTTTCTCCATGGCTGTCTCTCTGGAGGGTTAGTGTGTAGGGTAGGTTGTAGCATGTAGAGTTAATGGCTATTTTGTTCTCTCCTTTGTAGGGTGCAGTATGCAGGGGACATGGAGCTGCCTAAAAACTTTGACCCTAGGCTTCAGTGGCCCAACTGCCCCACTCTGAAGGAGGTCCGGGACCAGGGCTCCTGTGGCAGCTGCTGGGTAAGAACGCACACAAGGATACACCCATTCTCAGATTCCTGTGACTGATCCATGAAGTTGAGTGTGTTTGATGTGCTTGTTCCACTGCAGGCGTTTGGTGCTGCGGAGGCCATTTCAGACCGTGTGTGTATCCATAGCAACGCTAAGGTCAGCGTGGAGATCTCCGCTGAAGACCTGCTCAGCTGCTGTGAAAGTTGTGGCATGGGGTACGTGCATATGTGTGTTTCTCGTTCACCTGGGGGGGGGAGTGGGGTGCGCAAGGGATCGGAGGTTGGTGGGATTTGTGCGCTTGCATTTTTGCTAACTGTGTGTGTTCTTAGATGTAATGGTGGTTACCCCTCTGCTGCATGGGACTTCTGGACTAAAGAGGGGATGGTGTCTGGAGGACTCTATGACTCTCACATCGGTGAGTAGCACACACTTTCTCACTCTGTTTTCCCACAGTTCGTCATCTCTACTCCGTCCTCGCTGAGCATCATGTGAAACCCACTTACCCTCTGTCTGGTCTCTCCTCTCAGGTTGCAGGCCCTACTCTATCCCTCCCTGTGAGCACCATGTCAATGGCACACGACCCCCCTGTAAAGGAGAGGAGGGCGACACCCCACAATGTATCAACCAGTGTGAGGCCGGGTACACACCTGGCTACAAGCAGGACAAGCACTTCGGTAAGGACACACAAACGCATTGTGTATTTTTTTTTTTCTTTGAAAATGAGTGATTGAATCTATACGGTTTGAGTCTATTCAAGCAAGGCTCTCACCCATGGAGATGCACACACCCTCTCTAAGCCCTCTCTCTCCTGTCCTCTAGGTAAGCGTTCGTACAGTTTGCCCTCTGACGTGAACGAGATCATGAAGGAGCTTTACAAGAATGGACCTGTAGAGGGTGCTTTCACTGTCTATGAAGACTTCCTGCTCTACAAGACTGGTGAGGTCACTCACTCATTTATCTCTCATGCACTTGCTCACTTTCTACTCTCTCAAACATTTTCCTATTTCTCACACCCGAACACTCTCTCTATAGGTGTGTACCAACATGTCTCTGGCAGTGCAGTAGGAGGCCATGCCATTAAGATTCTGGGCTGGGGAGAGGAGGGGGGAACTCCTTACTGGCTGGCTGCTAACTCCTGGAACACTGACTGGGGAGATAATGGTGAGACACTATTTGTTACAACTCTGTTCAAATAAGCCCCCACCTATTGTTGATAAATTGCTATTTCTGGTCTTATTTTCTAATGTGTGTATTTTCTCTCCTGTCTCAGGTTTCTTCAAGATCCTGCGAGGTGAGGACCACTGTGGCATCGAGTCCGAGATGGTGGCTGGTATCCCTTTGTAACCAGGACGTGATGGGAGAGAGACTGCTACAGATGCGGCAGTTTCCTGTCCACTAGACGGATATTTTGGCAACTCTGTAGTTCCAAAATAATTGGTTAAGTAAACTCCACCATGTCAGAGGGAAAGATGGAGCTGCTACCATATTGCGCATACCTGTCCTATTCTGATTGGTTATCAGATCTGAGTAGTGGCTAGGGGTCTCTGATTTTAGTTAAATGTTTATCACTTTTTTAAAACTACAGGACAGATCACTGCTGTCTGTGGTACTGTGTTTTACCTATGGCTCATGTTACACGTATGACCGGCTATCTCCGGTGGCTCTGGCTCAATGTCACACTGGGTGCCTCAATAGTCTGTAGTGGCTTCCTCCCCTTGTATCTGACAACACAGGATGGGTGAAGGCAATATGGAGGATGCCTGCGACGTATATGCTTTCACCTGTCCAGTTGTGTAATGTCAGTGCAGGGAGAGGAATCCACTGTAGACTATTGAGAACGCCCCCAGTGAGTGACTAGACGTCCATCTTGTTTCCTGTGTTTGTACGATGTTGCCAGTGATGGCAAGGTCACTAGCTGTGCTAAAATACTCCTCTCCCTGTTTGCTAGTTCACAAAAAGGAACAATTTTTTATTAGTTATGCTTGTAAGTGTTAAACCCCTATTTTTTTTTTAATTTGTTTTTTCAATTGACATGATCAGTTGTGCACGTATTTGTGTTATCTTGGATCATCATTGAGAAATGTGGGAGTAGTTTTATACTGATGGGTTGTGATTTGAATGCTGTGTTTTTTTTTTTTGTGTGGTTCTCTCCCTACTCTGATCAAAAGTGTTCTGGGATGTTTGTTTTTTAGTTACATTATGAAATAAAAGTCCACCAACATGTTTTACTTGGCCTCAGAAAACTCCTGTCCTTGTTCAGAGAGGTTTAGTGGATCCTTTTCTCCCCGCCCCCCTAAACATCCATCTAACATTCTACACATGAATGCCTCTGCATTCTTTGTTTTGCTTTGACCCATCTGGTGCCTGTATTTGTGAGTTGTAATTAGTAGGTATGGACACTAATGCACTTGTGGAGATCTGAGCAGATTTGAATGGTGTAAGCAACACGGTGACACTTCCACATACCAGTAGCTTATCAGAGGGCAAGGTGGCAAATATTACCATATTGCTTACAGTTGTCAAATCCTCTCGGATCTCCACAAGTGCTTAGGCCAAATCCCAATTGGACCCATATGTTTTAGCATAGGAATCCGTCTGCTGAGTGGAAATGTTGGAGCAGCAAAAAGTGAGTGGACATTCCTCTTTATTCCCCTTTTAAACAAACAAGGTGCAATCAGTACCTAGTCACCGCCGAGACAGAAACTACGTAATAAAGGTGGCATAGTCATGTTGGCTTTATTTTTGTCATATAAATATACAAACCTTCCAATTCAGGAAATTTACAGCAAACCAAATATTCATTTGTTTCTTAAATTCATCCCATGTTCCTAAATCATTGTGTTCGATTACATGAAATCAAATTACACTTCAGATTACACTTCTCACCAGTGTATATTTGTTTACTCCCCTCATGTATTTTAAAGGAACAAGTGCACACTTCTAGGAGAAGGGGGAGACTGAATTGGGCTCTAGTGTTACTGTGGCTGAGCAGGCAGCTGTGCAGCGACGCAAAAAATATTATTTGTACAAATCAACAGACGGCACTTTAGTTTATTGGTAGCATAAGTGAAAAGGGCCTGGGGTTTTTGACCTGACCAGGAAAAACGCCTGTCTAATAATGAGAAGGAAGAATCTAGTCTCAACAACTGCTGTGACAAGTAGAGAGCCCAATTCCATGAGCTAGAGGGATTTTCCACTGAATTTCTTAAACCAACCCATTCCTTTTGCATCAATGAGGGGAGTACACAATTTATATTTTATATTGCACAGGAGGGGGAAGGCAATGCATTTGACACGTTCGTAAATGCAGTCAATTCCTTAACTTTTCTTCAGATTGTCCATTCCAATATTATATGGCTTCTTCAACAGAAAAAGCAACTAGTTACTGCAAAATCAATAAACTGAAGGTCAAACTGTACTATTTAGCAGTGTAAGGCATAGTATCTTTTGGCACAATACAACATATTTAATGCTGAATTATATTCTCACTCGATCTTGTTCAGAAGGGCAATGTGTTGAAATATAACAGCAGCTTGAAAACAAATGGCTGATATCTCTTAGTTTACAATTCTTTAGTACAAAAGAAAACAGAAATCCCTCAATGTGAAACAAATAAGCCCCTACCCCCAAGGTAGATGAGGGGATGTGATTTGCTAACTCTGCTTCCTGTCACTCAACGGGCTCCTGCTATTGGCTGACCCCTCTCGGTCTGGATGGAAGTATTGTTGTGTTGGAGTGCTGTTTGCATATTATTATTGTGTGTGTTTGTTTACATTTCAGGCTGCCCCTGATGTACAGGAGCAGGCCTATTTTGCACATGATCAGCAGCAGGGGCCTCTGGGATATGCGGTCCTTTCTCCTCTGCCTGTTTCATCTCTTCCTGTATAGAATGTTCATCTGTCTTAACTTCCTGTCCCTCATCTCCTGGCTTTGACTCTTCTTCCTTGGGCTGTTCCTCTGCTTTCTTCTCCTCTTTCTGTGCTGCCTTGTCTTGTTTTGGTTCCTCAACTTTGACTTCCATTTGGACCTCTACCTGCTCCTGGGCCACACTCCTTCCCTGTTCAGGTGCACCCTGGGTGTTGGAGTCTGGTTGTTGTAGTTTGGGGGGAGAGAGTAGCTCAGAGGGAGCTATTAGACCGTCCATGTTGAGATCCTGAGTCTGCAGGAGAAAGTCTACCATTTCCACCACCTGGAATGCGCGTACACACACACACAACAAAAAACATTGGCTTAGTGTACATATTCACCAACTGAAACACTGTGCAGTCAACTTTTACATTTTAGTCATTTAGCAGACGCTCTTATCCAGAGCGACTTACAGGAGCAATTAGGGTTAAGTGCCTTGCTCAAGGGCACATTGACAGATTTTTCACCTAGTCGGCTCAGGGATTAGAACCAGCGACCTTTCGGTTACTGGCACAACGCTCTTAACCACTAAGCTACCTGCCGCCCCAACTTCAGCATTAGTGGAGATTCACTTACAGCTAAAGTGAGTCCTACAGTAACATCTTTATACCTACACAACAGTACAGGCTACATTATCTATTTCAATCCTGATACATAACCCTTATAATATTATGTCCTGCTAGCTACTTGGCCAAACTGACTACGATCAAGACAGAGTTACAAAATCAGTCAGTACAATACAGTATGTCCTAACCATGACAGTGAAGATGTTTTCTACAGATGTTCTACACACACACACACACACACACACACACACACACCTCACACCTCACCGGCTCTGCTGACTGTTCCCCAGGTGTATTGTGGGAGTTGTATTCAGAGAGCAGCTTCATCATCTCCAGGCCATCCATGTCACCGCTGCGGTCGTAGTCATGGAGACTGAACAGGAAAAACACCTCTGACCAGCAGGAAATAGGAAGATGTTGACTCATTAATAATGTCAATGATTGTGTGTGTGTGTATGTGTGTGTGTGTTTACCTTGTTCCCAGGTGCTATCTGGTCCTCCCTGTCCCTCCTTCAGGTTGGCCTTGATGTAGCTCTGCAGCAGCCTAACACACACACAGAGGTTATAGGTCAGAGGTTACGGTTCACAGAGGTTAGGGCTTGGGATAGAAGGTTCAACCTCAGGCCCTCCTGACTGGGTAGCACGTTACTTCACTGTACAGAAAGTACCACTGTAATCTAGTCTCAACATGTCTCAAGGTTTTACAAACAAACTCTCTGTTCCCTCCCTGGTGTGTTCTGTGTACAGTAGGGTTAAATATTTTCCCTGTATTTTACAAATGTTAAATCCCGAGAATAAATCACTTTTCTCCCACGTAAGCAGGTATTTCCCACCCAAACTGGAAGTGTCATGTTAAAACATTAGGAACACCTTCCTAATATTAAGTTGCACTTCAAAGGCACGTAAATATTTTGTCTTGCCCATTCACCCTCTGAATGGCACACATACAAAATCCTTCTCTAACCTGTCTCTAACCCTTAATCTACACTGATTGAAGTGGATTTAACAAGTGACATCAATAAGGGATCATAGCTTCACCTGGATTCACCTGGTCACTATATGGAATGAGCAGGTGTTCTTAATGTTTTGTATACTCAGTGTATAAAGCATATAAATATGTCTGGATTTGATTAGAGTTTTGATCGGCATGAAAATTCAAGCCTGACGCTACCAGAGCCTGATGAGCCATACATTAAAGACATTTTAAGATCCCAAGCTCAAAAAGCCCCAAATGATTGTGTCGTTATCCAATACATAGCCTATGATATATAGGCTACCGCACATTACGTACGACAGAAAAACATAAAAGCCGATAGATGTAGGCCTGCCTATACTCTCTTGGGTAAATAAATGAAACAACTCCAGTAGGCTGAGTGTATTAGCCTACTGTACTGTATTTTACTGTTTTATATAGACTGGAATTACGCACCTTGTTCAATCCATGAAGCTGGGGGAGAACATACGGCCTACAAAGTTATAAGTATAGGCTAGCAAATTTGATTTTAATTTTGAAATATAATAGAACCTATTTTACGTTTTTATAATTAATAGACTGACGCATATACCTTTCATCATATTTCCACCATTTTTTTTTTTTTTTTAGGGGGTAGATCAGCTTTAATATTGCAGATAGATTGTAACTTCCATCAATGTAATTGTCTGCATCACTTCCCAAGTTTTGAATCCAGCGTCGTTTTGCGTATCAGTTCATAAACACTATGCCATGGGATCGGTACGTCAAAAATCTCTTCCCAACTATTTTGCAATCTATATGGGACTGCTGTCAATCCTTTGGTCCTTAAATGAAACTGGTATACTTTGTTATTTAGCACAGTTTTCTTTAACCAATTATGTTCTTTAATGCAGACAGACAAGTTCCTTACATTTTCCCCCTTCCACTTTCCTCTTACATTTTTGCGGTAATGCTGCAATTATTTGGTTGTAATTTTGGGTAGAGCAGACATTTCCATATGTTTTTGTTAGCTGCATGTGCGACATAACTCCACCAGTCCTACCGATGATATCATTTACGAAGATTATACCTTTTTTAAACATTGTCAAAAAAAAAAGGTTTTTTATCAATTAGTATATTTGAGTTTAACCACAATATTTGTTGCATTATTTGTTCTGTCGTTTCTGGAGGATTAAATTGAAATTGCAACCAACTTTCTATGGCTTGTTTTAGAAATAGTGATATTTGGGAGATGATTTCCTTTTGAAATAACTGAAAATTAGAGGTTGTAATCTGAATAAAGGGAAAAAGGCCATTCTTGAACATTGGGTGAGACAATCTTACTAATTTGCTAGAGAACCAGTTTGGATTTAAGTATAACTTTTGTATGACAAGCTTTTAGTGATAGGTCTAATGCTTTAATATTTAATCATTTCTGTCCTCCGAATTCATATTCATTATATAAACAGGCCCGTTTAATTTTGTCTGGCTCGCCGTTCCAAATAAAATGGAATCTTTTTTTCTCATATAATTTAATAAACTGTTCGCTAGGCGTAGGCAAGACCATAAGCAAATAGGTAAACTGGGATAATACTAAAGAGTTAATCAAGGTGATTTTTCCACAAATTGACCTTTCCATGGTAGCAAGATCTTATCTATTTTTGCTAACTTTCTATAAAAATGTATTGGAGTGAGATCATTTATTTCCTTTGGGATATGTATTCCGACTATATCCACATCACCATCAGACCATTTTATTGGTAAACTACATGTTAATGTAAATGTTTAATTTAGCAGGCCTGGTTTCCCAGATGTTTCTTAGTGTTCTATTGTTTCCAGTACTTGCCTTATATTATCTCCAATGTATCGTCCATGTAAAAAACCTGTCTGATTAGAATGAATAATGTCCGACAATATATTTTTAATTCTATGAGCTATAAATTTTTCTATAATTTTTGCATCACAACACTGAAGTGTAAGGGGCCTCCAATTTTTTAAAATGGACTGGATCTTTGTATTTTCCACCTATTTTCCACCTGTTTCAGTAATAATGAAATCAGACCTTCTTTTTGAGTGTCTGATAATCTACCATTTACATAGGAGCGGTTAACAAATGCTAATAACGGTCCTCTGAGTATATCAAAAAAGGTTTGGTATACCTCGACTGGTTATTGGACTGCCATCCAACCCTGGAGTTTTCCCGGACTTAAAGTCTTTAATTGCATCCAGATGTTCCTCCTCTGTAATTTCACCTTCACATTAGTCTTTCTGTATGGCTGTTAATTTTACATTATCAATAGAAAAAACATCTCTACAATTAGCTTCAGTTAGAGGAGATGGAGGCGACTGAAACGAAAACATATGCTTAAAGTACTTTGTTTCCTCCTTCAAAATATAATTTGGTGAATCATGGGTGACTCCGTCATTTGTAACCAGTTTCAGTAAATTATTTTTGGTAGCATTCCTATGCTGAAGATGAAAAAATAATTTGGTGCATTTTCCCCCATGTTCCATCCAGTTTGCTTTATTTTTATAATATATTACACTTGATCTTTCTTGAATAAGTTTCTCCATTTCTTTTTGTTTTTCCTCTAATTTATTCTGAGCCTATGTTACTATCTGTTCTTTTAGACCTTCTATTTCCTTTGTTAGTATGGACTCTTTGATTATTTTGTGCCACCTGGGCTACAATGATAAGCCCCTCTCTGATTGTCCGAGTGTGACCCCCTCCCCATGGGTTACTGCAGCCAGTGTTGTCAGCACTGCCACTACCTGGGTGGGGGTACCCAACTGGAATCCCCACCGGCTAGGTACAAGGTCGTCAAGGTTCTCATTAGCAGCTTTGAGAATTTCCTTGTATATTATGCTCTCCCATCAGGGGGCTCTGGCTTTGTAGGACCAACCCTGTCAGGCAGGCTCAGAATCTTGAGGGGGCGGTGCTGCTCAAGTAGGTCTCTGACCGCATTTATTTTTCTGTTTTGATTGCATATAGTCAACTCACAGCAGGTCCATAAAACAGATGGGGACTTCTCTTTGGTGTATGGGTCGCTCAGGTGGGTGTCTAGGACATAGGGTTGGGGATCATTCCATCATGATAGGACAATTTAAAAATATATATTAGATGTATACTATATTTTAAAATGTATATCCCTCATCTGCACAAAATTGAAAGCTCTCTCTCACAACCCCTGCTCACAGACACACGTTGGTTCTGGGATATGCTACCATTTCCTTTCTCAATCACTTAACGCCACACTTATTCAAACACAAAAACGCACACCACACCTTCCATCACAATTCATCCACACATACCCACATACTGTGCCTTCTATGTCTTCTGTTTGCTATGTTTTTATCTCCACTATGTTGATTGAGTACTTGTGTTCTAATTTAGTTGTATTTGAAGATGTATTATTTTGCTTGTTATCTTTTCTTGTAATAACGTATTTTCCCTTTATAAAATACTATACCTAATATAATAAATGTGCTTTATTATTACAATCCCTACCATGACTAGTATTGGGTGTTCTATTATTCGACTCCTCTATTAGAACTTTCAGAATAGCCATGGCGTAGTCTTTGGTTGTCAATTTACAGTTTATCGACAACAAGAGCAACACGCTTCCCTTTTAATCTATTGGGTACAGAACTTTGCGCCGTTCTGCAATCTCCCTCGGGAACTGATAATTCATGCCTATTTTTGTGCCAGCAAGTCTTTTACCTAGGCTTTTAACCATACTTTATCCTTAAAAAAAGCAAATTTGGCAACGATTGGACGCTCATATCTCTGTCCTCTTTGTCTGAAACGGTGTACACGTTCGAGTTGGATTTTGTCAACAGCCTCGAGTAGAATTTGAAGCACTGTAAGAAAGAAGTACTTCACAATTTTTTCTGTAATCTCTCCCGCTTTTTCCTGAATACCCGTAAGTACTAGATTTTCTCTCATCGAGCTAGTTTGTATGTCTAGTAAGGCTTGTCTCAGAAAGTTGTTCTCCTTTTTAAGTTCCTTAACGTCCGTTTCCATCCTAGTGACTGTCCCTTTTAGTTTTTTTGTATCGCTCTCCATTATCGCAGCTTTTCCGTCACTAATTTCAAGACTCGCCTTCAACTCTTTTACATCATTACTGACCAACTCTAGTATGCACAGTTTGTCATTTATCGACTTCAACAAGTCGCTTTCCACACTTACCAGTCCCGGTGGTGAAAAGCATAAATCATCTGTATCAGTCGAGGAGTCGCATTTTCTCTTGGAGATTGATTCTCCTCGTTTATCTTCCGTCATGTTTGGGTGTTGCGTGTTGTTGTAATATTTGTCGATACATTTCTCTAGCCTTATAATTTGTTTTGTGTTATTATCCAGATTGAATGTTACTACCCTCGAATATTTGAAATGTTAATATTTAGTCTAACTTACTGATATTGAATATTATGTTTTTATCTTGAGGTGATTTGTACCGCTGTGTATTCAATACGTCATCTTGTATATCCACGTGCTTATTAACCCATCTCCTCTTTCTATCTCTATTGTTGCGTCATTCCTTCCTCGCTTTCAACAGTTAAATGAAATACGTTTTGTTGTCCTTATCTTCATCATTGTAATGACATGCTTGAATAATATAGGACTAGAATAAGATGCAGAAGGCTTTCCCTTCTCTTCACGAAGATCGAATGTTTATGGTTCTGAACAAATAACTGCTATAGTCTACCGCGGTCCCGCATTCTCTATTCTTTCAATCTGCTGTATTTAACAGTCAGCAAACAAGAGCTTGCATCCCTTTTCGAATAGTCTATTAGTATGAGAATAAGAAATAAAAAATTCCAGCAAGCTATTCTAGTCTAGTTTTCCTGGGACTCCAAGAGCTAAGGAGCCAGCGGAGTGAAGGTGCGTATTGTGCAAGAGACAGAGGCTATGTTAGAAGCTTATGCATAACCCATCATTAATTAGCTAAATATAAGGTTAATACAGCATTGAATGTATTACCTGAAACAGGGTAGGCTAGGACATCTATATATACAGTAAAATGAGTGTACAAAACATTAGGAAAACCTTCCTAATATTGAGTTGCACCCCTTTTGCCCTCAAAACAGCCTTCATTTGTCGGGGCATGGACTCTACAAGTTGTCGAAAGCGTTCCACAGGAATCCTGGCCCATGTTGACTCCAATGCTTCCCACAGTTGTGTCAAGTTGGCTGGTAGTGGGTCTCTACTCCGAATAAGTCGTTCCATCTCATCCTATAGATGCTCAATTAGATTGAGATCTGGTGGCTGTGCAGGCCACTGTAGTACGCTGAATTCACTGTCATGTCCATGGAACCATTCCTGGACAATCCTAAACTTCTGGCATGGGGCATTATCCTGCTGAAAAAAATCAATTTGCCGATGGATACACTGCTGCCATGAAGGGATGCACCTGATTGGCAATGATGTTCAGATATCCTGTGGCACTCAAACGTTGCTCCACTTTTATCAAGGGGCCCAATGTGTGCCATGAAAACACACCCCACACCACCACCACCAGCCTGTTGAGACGTGGCATGATGGATGCATGTTTTCTCCATACCCTAGTTCTCCCATCAGAGTAAAACAGCAGGAACCGGGATTCATCAGACCAGGCAATGTTTTTCAAATTCTCCAGTGTCCAGTGTTTTCGTCCCTTAGCCCACTGCAACTGCAGAACTCTATAAGGTCGTCAGCTGCCATACCCAATTCGTGTCAAGGTACGGCGAGTTGTGCTTTATTTTATGGGTCTTTGGGCACCAATGTTGTACTGGACTGTCAGTTGACTAACTGTAGCCCATCTGTTGTTCTGCACAATTAGTGTCAGCCTCCTTTGTCCTCTTCATCAATGACCCATTTCCGACCACTGGTCTGCCATTGGCTGGATCTCCTTTGGGTGGTGGACCATTCTTGATACACACAGGAAACTGTTGAGCATGAAAAACCCAGCAGCGTTGCAGTTTTTGATACACTCAAACCGGTGCACGTGGCATCTACTACCATACCCAATGTTCCCTCAAAAAAAATGTTAGGCACTGAGCAAATTTCAGGTCTGCTGAGCGCAAGCTTGAACGTTGTGAAAATTATGTGCAACTTCCAGCGCACGTTTACTGTGAACACTGAGGCTGTACCCACTTTAAGTTACAGTTTTAACAGTGGCCAACTAGGCTACTTTGGCTATTTGATCATAATGTAGGCCTACCAGAGCGCCCTACCATCAGAAACAATGGAGTAAATGAATCCCATAACATTTGAACATGGAAATAGCTGTTCTATAATTCAGCCTACAGTAGCAGCCAATGTGTGGCGTTAAATGTAGGCCTACATTCCATGAGACTTTTGAAAACAACATGCAGGGCTTGACATTAACCTGTTCATCCACTTGTCCTTCAGACAAGGAGGTGACTGAAAATGTTGTTGTGTTGTTTGATGCAAGAAACCACTTTACAAAATAAAATGAATTATTATTCCAATACCATTACTACAGAGAATCAGCCAAATTATGCTAAACTCTGCCTATTGGCTACTTAGCTTATTCAGGCCTGTTTCAAAATACAACACTGCCCCTTTAAGACAAAAAAAAGCTCTTTACCTGACTTGCTTTTCAAAGATGTCTAGAAATGTACACGTTTTGTGCTCTTGTAGGAAGCAATCTCTCCCCTATTGCGGACTACAAATGATCTATAACAGGGCTAATAACTCACTAACTAGCAAAGGATATGAACAAAATGTTCACAGGTGGCTACATGCAGCTCTTTCTTTGATCTCAAAACAAGTGCATCTACTCACGACCACAGCTGTAAACACAGTCCAGTTCAAAGTAAATGGCACAGATCCATATATGGCAATGGTCTATTTGCATATAGGCCTACTGCAGCTCTGATTGGTAATGCCGCACCGGTCTGGGCTGAGTCGTGCGCAATAGAATCCTACTCCGATGCGTTCTGTCTACAACAAAATCTCTTGCATAGTTGCGTTGATTCGATCACTATTACCACAGTAAAGGGAAACGTTGATAGTGTTAACTAACAGGGAAAACTCTAGAAAGTTGAGTGAAGTTCAATCTCATGTTTCTCTTTGTGGGCTGATATTTCTTCTGCGCTCTGTGCGGCAGCTTAGAGGGAACATTGGACATACCCCGTTCAAAGACACTTAAATCTTTTGTCTTGCCCATTCACCCTCAATGGCAAACATACACAATCCATGTCTCAAGGCTATAAAATCCTTCTTTAACCTGTCTCCTCCCCTTCATCTACACTGATTGAAGTGGATTTAACAGGTGACATCCATTTACATTTACATTTTAGTCATTTAGCAGACGCTCTTATCCAGAGCGACTTACAGTTAGTGAATACATTTTATTATTTTTTATATTAGCCCCCCGTGGGAATCAAACACCATGCTCTATCAACTGAGCTACATCCCTGCCGGCCATTCCCTCCCCTACCCTGGACGACGCTGGGCCAATTGTGCGCCGCCCATGAGTCTCCCGGTCGCGGCCGGCTGCGACAGAGCCTGGATTCGAACCAGGATCTCTAGTGGCACAGTTAGCACTGCGATGCAGTGCCTTAGACCACTGCGCCACTCAGGAGGCATCCCTAAGGGATCATAGCTTTCACCTGGATTCACCTGGTCAGTCTATGTCATGGAAAGAGCAGGTGTTCCTAATGTTTTGTACACTCAATGTATATACAGTTGAAGTCGGAAGTTTACATACACTTAGGTTGGAGTCATTAAAACTTGTTTTTCAACCACTCCACAAATGTCTTGTTAACAAACTATAGTTTTGGCAAGTCGGTTAGGACATCTACTTTGTGCATGACACAAGTAATTTTTCCAACAATTGTATACAGACAGATTATTTCACTTATAATTCACTGTATCACAATTCCAGTGGGTCAGAAGTTTACATACACTAAGTTGACGGCGCCTTTAAACAGCTTGGAAAATTCCAGAAAATGATGTCATGGCTTTAGAAGCTTCTGATAGGCTAATTGACATCATTTGAGGCAATTGGAGGTGTACCTGTGGATGTATTTCAAGACCTACCTTCAAACTCAGTGCCTCTTTGCTTGACATCATGGGAAAATCAAAAGAAATCAGCCAAAAAATTGTAGACATCCACAAGTCTGGTTCATCCTTGGGAGCAATTTCCAAACGCCTGAAGGTACCACGTTCATCTGTACAAACAATAGTACGCAAGTATAAACACCATGGGACCACGCAGCCGTCATACCACTCAGGAAGGAGACGCGTTCTGTCTCCTAGAGATGAACGTACTTTGGTGCGAAAGTGCAAATCAATCCCAGAACAACAGCAAAGGACCTTGTGAAGATGCTGGAGGAAACAGGTACAAAAGTATCTATATCCACAGTAAAACGAGTCCTATATCGACATAACCTGAAAGGCCGCTCAGCAAGGAAGAAGCCACTGCTCCAAAACCACCATAAAAAAGCCAGGCTACGGTTTGCAACTGCACATAGGGACAAAGATCTTACTTTTTGGAGAAATGTCCAAAAATAGAACTGTTTGGCCATAATGACCATTGTTATGTTTGGAGGAAAAAGGGGGTACTTGCAAGCCAAAGAACACCATCCCAACCGTGAAGCACGGGGGTGGCAGCATCATGCTGCGGGGGTGCTTTGCTGCAGGAGGGACTGGTGCGCTTCACAAAATAGATGGCATCATGAGGAAGGAAAATTATGTGGATATATTGAAGCAACATCTCAAGACATCAGTCAGGAAGTTAAAGCTTGGTCTCAAATGGGTCTTCCAAATGGACAATGACCCCAAGCATACTTCCAAAGTTGTGGCAAAATGGCTTAAGGACAACAAAGTCAAGGTATTGGAGTGGCCATCACAAAGCCCTGATGTCAATCCTATAGAAAATGTGTGGGCAGAACTGAAAAAGCATGTGCGAGCAAGGTGGCCTACAAACCTGACTCAGTTACACCAGCTCTGTCAGGAGGAATGGGCCAAAATTCACCCAACTTATTGTGGGAAGCTTGTGGAAGGCTAACCGAAACGTTTGACCCAAGTTAAACAATTTAAAGGCAATGCTACCAAATACTAATTGAGTATGTAAACTTCTGACCCACTGGGAATGTGATGAAATAATTAAAAGCTGAAATAAATCATTCTCTCTACTGTTATTCTGACATTTCACATTCTTAAAATAAAAGTGGTGATCCTAACTGACCTAAGACAGGGAATTTCTACTAGGATTACATTTCAGGAATTGTGAAAAACTGAGTTTAAATGTATTTGGCTAAGGTGAATGTAAACTTAATATGGAGTTGGTCCCCCCTTTGCTGCTATAACAGCCTCCACTAGATGTTGTAACATTGCTGCGGGGACTTGCTTCCATTCAGCCACAAGAGCATTAGTGAGGTCGGGCAATGACGTTGGGCGATTAGGCCTGGCTCGCAGTCGGCGTTCCAATTCATCCCAAAGGTGTTCGATGGGGTTGAGGTCAGGGATCTGTGCAGGCCAGTCAAGTTCTTCCACACTGATCTCGACAAACCATTTCTGTATGGTCCTTGCTTTATGCTCGGGGGGATTGCCATGCTGAAACAGGAAAGGCCCTTCCCCAAACTGTTGCCACAAAGTTGGAAGCACAGAATCGTCTAGAATGTAATTGTATGCTGTAGCGTTAAGATTTCCCTTCACTGGAACTAAGGGGCCTAGCCCGAACCATGAAATACAGCCCCAGACCATTATTCCACATCCACCAAACTTTACAGTTGGCACTATGCATTTGGGCAGGTAGCGTTCTCCTGGCATCCGCCAAACCCAGATTCGTCCGTCGGATGGTGAAGCGTGATTCATCACTCCAGATAAAGCGTTTCCACTGCTCCAGAGTCCAATGGCGGCCCGCTTTACACCACTCCAGCTGATGATTGGCATTGCCCATGGTGATCTTAGGTTTGTGCGCGGCTGCTCGGCCATGCAAACCCATTTCATGAAGCTCCCGACTAACAGTTATTGTGCTGACGTTGCTTCCAGAGGCAGTTTGGAACTCAGTAGTGAGAGTTGCAACCGAGGACAGACAATTTTGACGTGCTTCAGCAGTCGGGCGGCCCAGTTCAGTGAGCTTGTGTGGCCTATCACTTCGCGGCTGTGCCGTTGTTACTCCTATACGTTTCCACTTCACAATAACAGCACTTACAGTTGACCGGGGAAGCTCTAGCAGGGCAGAAATTTTACGAACTGACTTGTTGGAAAGGTGGCATCCTATGACGGTGCCACGTTGAAAGTCACTGAGCTCTTCAGTAAGGCCATTCTACTGCCAATGCTTGTCTATGGAGATTGCATGGCTGTGTGCTCGATTTTATACACCTGTCAGCAACTACTGTGGCTGAAATAGCCGAATCCACTAATTTTAAGGGGTGTCCACATACCTTTGTATATATAGTGTATCAATCTTGAACAGAATTATCTACTTTGGATGCAATTTGAATGGAATTGATGGAGAGAGAGAAAGACTGCGAGAGTGCTCGCGTGCGCACCAATTTAAAGCAACGATGTTCGAGCGATAGGCTGTTTTAAAACTCTGCAGCTGCAATTTAAAAAAAAATCTTTACATTTACATTTTACATTTTAGTCATTTAGCAGACGCTCTTATCCAGAGCGACTTACAATTGAAAAACAAGGTGACCCCTGAAAGCCAGATGGAGATGTGTAAATTAGATGCAGATTCAGTCATTATAGCCTATTAATATAGTATGGCCTACCCTTCACAAGAAAAAAAGTTACCATGATGAGATGATACATGTTGTGAACTGCGCTCCATACTGAGATGGCTTGTCTGTCCCCACTCTGAGCGATAATGATTGATCATGCAGATAGCAGAGAGAAGGCCGTAGAGAAGCCAGATTTAGACATTGCATATCATTTAACAGTTCCATTTCACATCATGCTGTTCATTGAAATGATTTATTATAATTTACCGGTTTCTCTTAGTTATTTATCCCGGGAAAAGGGAGTGGGTTTGGACGGGAAATCTGCTGTTCAACCCCTAGTGTAGCATGTCCTTGTGCTCACCTGTCTTAAATCACACAGTAGGCCTGGTCAGTGCATATGAACTGAGGCCTGGACAGCTAGAACACTCACACACCTAGACAACCTTTGACCTTTTACAGAACACAACTGAATGTGGTAATTGTGTAATAGCACAAACTATTTCAGTAATTTGTTTGTTTGTTTGTTTGTTCAACCAGATTGTTGTGAAAATAGGCAGTAATACTGGCAGCATTACACTAGTTAGGTTTACAAAAAAGGCTAACATTATAACAGCATCATAAACCTGTGTTTGAACATAGCTACATACAGTATCGTATCTGTCTGTCTGGGAGAAACTCTGCAGCTGCCTACTCAAAGTCCACAGAGCTGATAGCGTGAACGAACATAATACATGCCCCTGTCAGAGTAAAGGGTTAAATTAGGGCTGGAGCAAAGCCCTGCACTCCCAGCAGCTCACCTGGAGGAGGGTTGACCAGATTTGGCCTGATTTAACCCTTTATTTAGTAGAGTTGACCACCACTGTAATAATTAAAGTAAAAGGTGCCACTCACCTGCGCTCCTCGTCTCCAGAGCCGAAGGGATTGGCCAGTGTGAGAGGGGGAGGGGCTCCTGCTGACTCTACTCTGTGGGACAAACACACAGAGAGAGAGAGAGAGACTGTTGTGATAACAAATACTTTATGTTGGTTTTATGAATAGGATTAAGTGCAGGGAAAGATGACCTTTGACCTCTACCTGAAGCGCTATATAAACAGGCTCACTCGGAACTCTGACCCCTATTTCTCCTCTGTTGTTGTTACCACCCAGGGACAGGATGTGATGTAATTCCCGTAACCTCATACTGTCTCTGTTATTCCTATTTATTTATTTTTTACATCAGGTGGCATCACTCCTACAGGACGCTTGTCCCTCAATCGACAGTGCAGGCTGAAGGCTGTCAGGGGTGCTACACAAGTAGTTTGTAAGTCGCTCTGGATAAGAGCGTCTGCTAAATTACGTAAATGTAAATGTAAATGTAAATATTGTTGTCTGACTGGCTCACCAAATAAACAACAAATAAAAAACAAAAGAATGACAAAACATACCCAAGCCAACAGGAAACCTAACCCTGCTGGAAAATCCATCTTAGACCAGTGTTGGTTCATATTTTTAACCTTGAGGACAAACCCTATACTTTCCCCCTGCCCTATACTTTTACTGTGTGTGTGTGTGTGTGTGTGTGTGTGTGTGTGTGTGTGTGTGTGTGTGTGTGTGTGTGTGTGTGTGTGTGTGTGTGTGTGTGTGTGTGTGTGTGTGTGTGTGTGTGTGTGTGTCAGGGCCTACCTTTCGTCACCGGGCACCTGTGGCGCAGAAACACACTTGTGCACGAGCAGGAGCAGGGAAAGCACACATGTCACCAACATGTCAGCGCCAGACTCACCTGCAAGCACGAGAAGAACTGGCACTGTCATTCTGATTCGATATTAAACATTTTAGGCGTATTGTAACATTTAGGCCGATCATTTCGTTATTCAAAAATTTCTGAATTATGTTCTGGAAGATGTAACTAAGGCAATAACCGTAGTCTATGAGAAATAATTGATGCTTTCAGCCCATCAGTTCTGCATCGGTAGACAGCCCAGACGAGCGTAGGCTATTTTACAATTGCAGTGATTTGGCATTTGTGTCCAACGTTGAATTATTGAGCGATATCATCATAGCATACAGTAACGTTAGGCCTAGTGATTTAAAACATCTCAATTATTGCTACAGAGATAGCTGTGATGCTAATGCTGCAACATTGTATCCATCTGATGTTACAATGGTAAAGTAGCAATCTCTCACTCAAATCAGTTATTATGCATCGTTTTAAATAGTTGCAATCTTACATTGCAATGTTGCCATATCCTACCTGTTGGCCCGTTTGATGAGTAGACAGAGAAACGCATGGTAACGTCGTGTTGTTAGTTGAGGTTGTGATTTCATAGCGGAAGATTCTACGGTACAGCCCTATCTGCACTGCGCAGCAGGCGAGATCGAGGCACCGGCCAAATAATTTCAATACATCCTTATTTTCTTCCTTTCCTTTAAGTAATCATTGATCTGACGTGACAGGAGAGGTGGACGCTATATGGAGCCCCTGGTTACACTATCCCGTTTTGTTGAATTTAGATCATAGATATATAAACCAAAAAAGGAAGGATGTATTTTGAAAGTATTCGAACTGGGCCACGGGATCTGTTTTGGTCAATGACTAGGTCCACGTGGAACCCCGGGCGAGGAGAGGACGTGTCCCGGTCGGTGCGGTCTCTCTCTCTCTCTCTCTCTCTCTCTCTCTCTCTCTCTCTCTCTCTCTCTCTCTCTCTCTCTCTCTCTCTCTCTCTCTCTCTCTCTCTCTCTCTCTCTCTCTCTCTCTCTCTCTCTCTCTCTCTCTCTCATTGGCGATGCCACGTAGCTGCAGCTGACTAGGCACGGGGATGGAACGGCAGTAGAGTGTGTGTGTGCAGCTGCGCTGCCACTGTTCGTGTAAGCCTAGAAACTGAACTTTTCTACATGGATTGTGAACATGGATGGCCCCCGCTACCGAGGCAGCGCGCTCAGCCTCGCCAGCCAGCAGCGGCTATACAGTATCACAGGCAGACTCTACGAGACTACATTGGTCTAATACTCTCCATCATTATAACTGACATGTCAACATTTACCTTCACTTATAATGATTATTTTTGACTACACAGCTACACATTTACCTTTGGAACAAATTGATTGTTTTGGGAATGTACGTAGCCTACTTGTCTCTCTCTCTGCTGGGAAAGCTTGGTCAGAGAGTTGGAGCAATCATTGGTCCAAAGGGCGAGATATACTGATTATACAAAACATTAAGAACACCTGCACTTTCTATGACAGACTGACCAGGTGAATCCAGGTGAAAGCTATGATCTCTTATTGATGTCACTTGTTAAATCCACTTCAATCAGTGTAGATTAAGGGAAGGAGACGGTTTAAAGAAGGATATTTAAGCATTGAGACATGGATTGTGTATGTGTGCCATTTGTGTCAAGAACGGCAACGCTGCTGGGTTTTTCACGCTCAACAGTTCCGTGTATATCAAGAACCCAAAGGACATCAAGCCAACTTGACACAACTGTGGGAAGCATTGGAGTCAACATTGGGCCAGCATCCTTGTGGAACGCTTTTGATACCTTGTAGAGTCCATGCCCTGATGAATTGAGGCTGTTCTGAGGGCAAAAGGGGTGACTCAATATTAGGAAGATGTTCGGTATACTCAGTGTAGGTTCGCGTGTTTGTGTGTGTTTAACCACATTAATGTAGTGTTTCACTGTAATGATATATTTCGACCACTAGATGGCAATATTGTCCAAGTGCTTTTGCTATGTCTCTCACTATTTTTTTAAATAGGCAAATCAGTTAAGAACAAATTCTTATTTACAATGACGGCCTACACCGGGACTCCCAATCACGGCCAGTTGTGATACAGCCTGGAATCGAACCAGGGGTCTGTAGTGACGCCTCAAGCACTGAGATGCAGTGCCTTCGACCACTGCGCCACTCAGGTGATATGGAAATAATGTTTGTCTGATACACACAAACTTTCCCTATTTTGGACCTCTCTTTCCTTCTGTGGATTGTGGTGGGCCAAGGGACGGTAATGCAAACAGAGGAGAGTGAGATAGAGGGAGGCGGCAAGGTAGGTAGGAAATAAGAACATGTGGTATAGGGAAGGAGAGAACAAACAGAGGGCCTCAGTCAAGTCAGGGAGAGTGAGGGAGAAATGGAGAGATGGAAGGATGGTGAGAGGGATGGATGGAGAGGAGGAGAGAGATGAAAGTATTGGGTAACAGCGGGGAGCAGAAGACAATCTCAGCATGATCCCTGTGTTGGAGAGCCAGACTGGTAGTCAGGGAGAGGCTGACACACACACACACATACACACACACACCGTCTTGCGCAGCTAGCCTTGTGGGGACATACAATTCAGTCCCATTCAAAATCCTATTTTCCCTAACCCTTAATCCCAAACCTAACCCTAACCCATACTCTAACCCTAACCCTAACCTTAACCCAAAAACCTAAACTTAACCTTAACCCTAACCCTAAACCTAACACTTGCTCCTAACCCTAACCCTAAAACTAACCCTATCTCCTAACCCTAACCCTAAACCTAATTCTAACCCTAACACTAATTCTAACCTTAACCCTAAACCCCATAGAAATAGAATTTGAGCTTGTGGGGACAAACAAATGTCCCCAATTGGTCAACATTTTCTTGGTTTACTCTTCTTGTGAGGACTTCTGGTCCCCACGAGTATAGTTAAACACGTCCACACACACACACACACACGCGCACGCACGCACGTACTAAGGCAAGGGCACATACACACACGCTAGAGATGCGCGGGTCAGCTGTTTGTTCATGCACCTGCCCGCTATTGCCAATAACCCGTCCGCAACCGCCCGACTATAGGCTACAGTGATAAAGTTCACATCTTAGGTCCGCACCCGAGCCTAACCAGCAAATAGGCCTACAGAAAATGCGATGTACAGTTAGAGATGGCAGAACGATTTTGTTGACAAGCCTTTTTAGATAGGCCTGGTTTCTGGTTATAATTTCCGACATTTTGGTAGGCTACTTGTCTATAATTAGATAGCCTACATACAGCTTCTCTTCTGTCTTTACTTGTTGCCCTAGAACACTAAATAAACCCCTGCTCACCAGAATATGTCATAAATCGATAGAATGAATACCCTTGCTCATCAGAGTAATTTCATAAATCGATAGAATTAATGCTTCAATCTAGTTGACATGGGTAAAGTTTGTTTTCTCTTTGCTTTTTCATCTCTGCTTCTATTATGCGCAGCAAAGACGTTTATGGACAGGGAGAATATGCTAACAAAAAAAAACTTGCGAAATGTCCAAATTACATATTTTTGTCCGCTTTTAAGGGTCTGTATATTTATTTATAATGAGGGAGACCTGGAGAAAATTGGATCTCTCTGAAATGAAAATGGTTGGCTCTCCCTTTAGTCAAATATATTTTTACCTGACCCTCCCTGAATGCTTAAAAAAAACAAGTGTCCCTCCCCTATACCCACAATAATAATTAAAACATAAAGTGGACAGCAGAGAACATACCTACCGTTTACCCCCACTCCCAAGACCGACCAGAGCCTTAGATATGCAGTTTTAGAAACTGTTCTTCGTTTAGTAAGAATTACATGGCAAAGTAGCCAGAAGGTTGTGGATTCGCAGACCACCCTGGACAAGGGGGGTGAAAAGATATTCATTATAATAGTACTGCATGAGTCTATTATCTTATTATGGGGCGGCTTAGTGGTTAAGAGCGTTGTGCCAGTAACCGAAAGGTTGCTGGTTCTAATCCCCGAGCCGACTAGGTCAAAATTCTGTCGATGTGCCCTTGAGCAAGGCATTTAACCCTAATTGCTCCTGTAAGTCGCTCTGGATAAGAGCGTCTGCTAAATGACTTAAATGTTATTTGCGGTCTGAGAAAACAAATCATTTTATGAACGCATTTCATGCAATTCTTTTTCATTTTACATCACTGGAGACAAGCATCATCTTTATTAATACCACAACAGAGAATGACAACGAATGAGCGCATGCTGCAGCACCTGAGATGTTTTGAATTATATACAGGCTATTGTTAAAAAATGAGGATAGTCTTACATTTCGAACTGGGACTTCACTAGACATTCAGAACAACCGGGGCTCAGTCCCGAAGACCTGGGGCTGACTCTGAGGTGGGAGGGGGGCAAGTACAAATTAGTGCATAACTATATCGTAATTTTCCATGAAGAAAAATTGTTGGAAAAAGTATTTGGATCACTTTGTAGCAATGTTTTCATAAACCATGTCCAATATTTGATTGGAAATAAAAAAAAGCCTCATGTTGATGTTGGTCACATTACTGATAACTAATGTGAGCTAGTCATGCTGCGCGCACAGTGCAGTTCCAAAATAATCAAAATGGTGGCAGCCTACACAACTAATTAATGTTTTGCATGAAATAATGTTCTAGTTACGTGCAATATAGCAGGATTGGTATTTTAGGCTGCCATCCTTTGGATTATGTTGGAACTGCGTAAACCCACATTAGCAGTAGGTTTGTATTAAAACTGTGGGGGCGGCGACGACACAACTTTTGCAGAAAATATGTACAAACGCAGGCACCAAACACGCTTGAAAATCATGATTTTATAATATTTGTGGTAATAAATCACAGATTCCAAGGTCAATTAGCTACAGGACAATATTTCTACCTAATTAATTACACAAAAACAAATACCCCCCCCAACACCCCTGTAATAATAACACATGTACATACCAACATACAATCCTTTCTCCAACTAAATATTCACAATGTTTGCGAGTTATATTACACAGTACTAGGATGTTAGTCCATC